AAAGAAGAGTCCATGGATGTCAAATTGGTCTCAAAAAGACCATGAAAGATTGATTTGCTCCACTTTTCTTCTGCCTGACATTATTTCGGAGGGTTCTGAATGGGAAACCAGAAAGTCTGGGGCTGGAATAAAGATGTTCTCTCTGTAAGGGGGAGAGGGAAAAAAGTGCCCATTTGCTCCTGGCCCATCAACCCTGCAAAACAGAGCAAAAGAAAAGGGAACTCTGTCTATTCAGAGTCAGACCAATATGTACACCTCCCAACAATGTCCCAATATACTGGGGGCCTCTCTATTAACACCCATGAATATTAAAGTCCTCACTAAACGCTAAGAAGGAACTTTGGGAATATACACATGAAAATACAAGCAGCATTGTGTATTGCCCAGAACAATGGGCCAATCATAATGGGCCTCCTCTATTAACAGCCATGAATATTAAACTTGTTTCCTCTTAAATGTTAAAAGGAAGAGGAGAGTCACAATATTTAGGGGAGGGAAAACAAACCGCAACACAAACCCTCGAACAGGGAAGGCTGTTTGGAACGCAGCTGGGGCTAATTTTAACCACTCACAAAAGGTAGATTTTTTTTTTCACCCCTTCTGTGCAATGAGGGAGAGTGTATTTAAACGTGGACCTGGCCGCTTGTATACTGCAAACTTGCATTTGTGTGTGTCTGATTGCTTTGGATTGGAGTTATTAGTGCTGTTTTTCCACCCCCATGCGGGGCAGGCGGTGTCCAGCTATCTCGCAGGCTGCGTTAACAGAGCAGGGTTGGATTTTAACAATAACCTGAAAGGCTGTGTAGCCGGATGGTTTTTAAGAGGCATATTTTGTCATCGAATGATTTGGGCCATGTACAGCTCCGGAAAAGAATCAGTAAAAGGGACCCCCTTCTTTGCACTGGTGGGAGGCAATAAAGGCATTTTTAAAGCCCTACACCTGATGTGTATGTTACATGATGCAGCTAGGCTCAAATAGGCTCAGTGCTCCTGTATCCCCAGCCCAGAAATTCTGATGCTCTGCTGGACAGAATTTTTTGTACAGCTAAGTTTTTGTTTGAACTTTGTTTTTAGGAAAGTATCATCTACTTGCAATGAAATCATATAAGTAAGGTAGCTAAAGATCTGTGCTTCTGTATACCCTGTGGAACTATTCCTGAATTTATTAGCAGGCCGGGGCAATTTCCTTTTGTTCTCACAGCCCTCTTACAAAACACATTCACCACAATTCTTTACGGGGTTGATGTAAACAATACAATTGCAGGATTACATCACAGATAATAGTCAGAGAGAATCAAAGGCTTGGGCAAGGGGGGAAATGGTTTGCATCTGAGTTTGGAAATGAAACCGAGAGCATGGGATGGAGAGAGGCTGTTCCGATCAGAGTGGGTTGCAGTGGAGAAGGCTCTTGCACCACCAGTGGAAGTGGTGTAGCAGGAGTGGGGATGGGAGGGGACAGAGAGAAATCTGGGAAAGTCCATGTTTGGGTTTGGGGGCCGGATCTAAAGTCCACTGAAAGCAGTGGGGGTCTTTCCATTAACTCCAGTGTGCCTTGGATAAGGACCATTGTGAACAGGGTCCTGAAATGAAGGGGAGGGGGGCAGAGGGGCTGCCTGACAATGGGGGGATGTGGGATAGATTTCTTAGCATTCATGAGGGTTCCAGTGCGTGGCAGTTAATGTATCTCTTAGGTTGCAATAGCTTTAAGCCACCAAGATGGGTCAAGTTTCTTTTCTCCATCTGCATGACAGATTCTGATCCTGGTGATTCGCGCTCTCTAACCGTGGCCACCTCTCACTGATGTTCTGCAAATGGACTAAGCGCGGAATAGCAAATACAGCCCATAGGACCTGGGGGAAGAATCTAGCCCCCAGCTTGTGGTGTTTCCCTCAAACCCAGAATTACTGACTGCTGAGCCCCCACCTTGGGTTGGGAGGGGACTTTTTTCTCCCTTCGGATACTGTCTGAAACTATAGTCGGGGTCCTGTCCTCTCAGGGCTCTGCAGCCTTCCTCGGTGCTTGTTCAAGCCCTGTTGTTCTGAGGGCCCCAAACTGTGACCACTCACCTGGGTAGTCTTTACTACAGTCTATGGGACTGCTTCCCTGACAACCGGTTTGCACAACTGGGCCCTGTCGGCTCTGAGCTCCCTGGGGCCTGATTCTTCATTGCCCACCGCTTGTGTCCTCATTGACACGGGTGCAAATCATTGTCATTTGGCTCCAACCGCTGAAGGGCTCCCTGGCCTACAAGAATCCAGAAGTTTGGGCTGGTCCCAGGGGTTTCCTCCCCATCCAGATCCAGACAATCTGCTTCCGCCCCCATCTCCTTGTGAACAACGATTGGATACAGAGTTAGCACCTCCATTTCCAAGACTGGAGGACTGAGGCCCAGCAAGTCCAAAGAAATTACTGTTCCCAATCTTGGTGCACTGGCCAAAATGGAGGTGACCACTGCATGGCTGTACTGTGACTGGGGGGGAAGAGGGTGCTTGGGGGTGGGTGGTTCTCAGGGCATGGGAAATCTATTTTAATTTCACCCCCTTTTCCTGAGAAATGCAACAAGAGAAGCTGGGCCAAGCTGAGAGAGTCAGGTGCGGCAGGGAAAAGCCACAGGCCTCTTTCTCATGTCCCACCTTTATTGTTGGCAGCCCCCTGGGCCATTTCATTGCAAGGGATTTTCCCAGGGTTCATTTCAAAGTGAATTTGAAGCTGGTGTGGGTTTCGCTGCATTGGATGCAACAGGTGCAACCTCCGGGCTACCTTTGTGGGCCCAATCCAGCACCCACTGCTGTAAACGGGCAGCCTGTCCATAGATTGCAATGGGCACGGCTCAGTCTCTGGTTCGGCGCTCTAAACTCATCCTTTCTCCTTCCCACCTTAGGTACATTGGGTCCAACAACATGGGCCTGGTTCTTATTTGATACAATCACTCCCTCTCCCCCCTTGCTAACCGGGTTAGATGCTTTATGGCCACCTCTGAGGACAGCTCCCTGCCCCACAGGATTTACTGTCTGGACGGCAGAAGAAGAGCTGCCCACCCAGCGGCCTTTGCCTTCAAATGGGACTTGTGCCTGAGCGAGGACTGCAGGAGCCAGACAGGCACAAACCAGGGCGCGTCAGTTTCTGGTAAAGGATCCCCGCGGTTCTGTCTCGGAAAACGATCTGATCTCTCTGCAATCTGCCATCCCAGGAGCCCGGCGAGGGTGGCCGGGGACTGCGGGCTTGTTACCCGCGGTTCGAGCAGGAGAAAGCCAGGGGGGAAGCGCTGCTCCTGCTCTACCTCGTTGTCTTATAATTAGTGACCCGGTTCGGCGCGTTTCTGTCCCAGCTTCTCCCTACACGTTCCCTAACGGGGGCTCTGGAAAGTCCTAAAGCCAGGGCGAGCTCCCCCCCCCCGCCAGCCAAATTACTTTTTCTGTTGTCTTCTGCTGGGGGTGGGGGTGGGGAGGGGATTAGCCGGGAGTAGATTAGATTAAGTTAAACACCGTAGCGCTGAACGAACGGGCAGAGAAATGGAGCGATTTCCAAAGCGAGCTGCGCGGGCTCTCCTGGGCTCCGCTCTCTCGGATTCGCCGCCAATGTCTCGCTTTGGTTGACAATTGTTTGCAAACTTTCCTTAGAAAGGACCGCCGGAGACCGCTGAGCCCCGAGCGCTCCGAAACTCCGCCGGCCGTTTAGGTTTTATCCCAACCTGTGAAATCCCCTCTGAAAGAAAAGTCACTTTCGGTTCTCCTTGGCGTTCCCCTCCAACGTGGAAATCGAAGCGTAGAAAGTGTAATATCTAAGGACTGACCCGAGGAAAGCGATAGGTGAGCGGATCCCTGCCCCCTTTCCCCAGAGTTTAGGCAACAGCTGGGGGTGGGGGATTTAGATTTAATCGCCCCGCAATCAGGAGCCGTATAAACGGCCGTTTAGGTTTTACACTATTTTTGCCTTCTCGCGCTCCGAATTAAAATTTAAAACCCAGCCACAGCGCAAAGCCCCTTCTGCGGTTCTTAATAAGATTTAAAGAATTTTCTCGTCGCTTCAAAAGGCTTTGGGGGGCTGCCTGCAAACAAATCGCTGGAGGTGGGGGGGTTTCCACTAGTTCGAGTAATAGAAGCGTTGGGGGGATTTAGTCGTTTTCCAACGCAAAAGGCTCGTTTCTCGAAGGCGTCGGTGTTTTAAAGCCCAGAATCCGAACTACTGCGAGTCAAAAATCTCTGCGCTTTCGATCTAAAGAGAAACGCGGCGTTTAGCAACAATAGCTTTGTAGGGGCTTTGCAGCCTTTCCCCCGAAAAGAGGAGAATAGGAAGGGGAACATTTCCCGTATCCCCTGTTATGATCTAACCCCCCACCACCGCCTTCCCAACCAGCCGTTTAAAATCGTCTTTGCACCGTAATGTTGAAACCACGAGCCTGGATCTAAGCGCCCGAGCCGAGGAGACCCTGGCTGAGAAAAGATGGGTTCACCCCCCCCCCGTCGTTTTAAAAGGCCAGTTTCGGATTTCTTAGGGCGAAATTGCGACTGGAGAGCGAAGTCGGTTTGAACGCGCCAGGGGAAGGAGCCGGGGTCGGTGCAGGGGACCCAGATCCGCCCAGCCGTGTGGGCGAGCTCAGGTTGTTCTAACGGCGTTCGAGCCCCGGCCATTCTTGGGGGGACAGCTTCCCTCCCCCACCCCGGTTCCGCAGGGCCAGACCAGCTCCCGGTCAATCAAATCCGTTTCTCCCGCTGACTTCTCCGCTCGGCCCCGAGTGATCCAAGGGCCCCGATTGTACCTGGCCAGGCGCGGGAGAAGATTTGATTTTTCCAACTTACAATTCGAAACCCTCCGGACGGTTTCACCCTGAATAACTTTCCGCAGCGAGGCTCTGTCCTGCCTGCGGGGCCGCGGGTGCTGGCCCGGGCAAGGAGCTGGGGGTGTCTCTCAATGATCGGCCGAGGCAGGGGCGGGGGGGAAGTGCGCTATGGGGTGTGTTGGTGCAAAACCGAACCGGAGTGAAACCCGTTGGCCCGCTCTCCCCCCGGCTATTCCTCGCCAGGGCGAAAATCGCCCGTCTCTGAATCCAGGTGGCTTCACTTGAAAGCCAAGAGCCCAATGCACCCTTCCCCCCCCCCACCTTAGCTGAATGTCCCTATTTCTGCAGCACCCAACATTGTCATGGGGTGAAAACACCGCCGCTGTCCCTCTGCCAGCCCGCAATAAGGGGGGTTGTTAATTATTTTTTAGTTAGTTAGTTTCCTTTTCCCCTTCCCTCCCCCCGGCCGGCTGGGCAGGTCTAAGGATGTTGCTAGAGCAGGTGTCCAGAAGAGAATCTCTCTCTCTCTCCACTGATGGGCTATTGGTGGGATATGCGAGGCTGCCTCTCTCTGTCTGTCTCTCCCTCTGTCCTCCCCCCTCCCCCCGAGGGGGAAGGAGGGGGGGGTCTCTGAAGGTTTGGCTCAGTCTGGTAGAACAAGTCTATCTTACAACGTCGGGGGGTCATTAATAACCAATTAGGAGGGTCACTGCCGCCCATATATAACCGGCTGGGAGAGTTTGCCAAGAGGAATCTGTCAAGAGGCAAGGAGCCCATCGCCCCAGGCTGAGCAGCGCTCCGCGCCTGGCTTCCCCGTCCGCCCTCTGCGCCCGGCTGCCCGGTGATCCCTCTCGCTCCCCGCCGCCGGGTTTCTATGATGGGCTCCGTGCTCCCCGCGGAAGCGCTGGTTCTCAAGACGGGGCTGAAGCAGCAGGGGCTGTCCCTGGCGGAGGTGATCACGTCGGACATCCTCCACAGCTTCCTCTACGGCCGCTGGAGGAACGTGCTGGGGGAGCAGCTCTTCGAGGAGAAGAACAGCCACAGTAACCCCAAAACGGCCTTCACGGCGGAGGTGCTGGCTCAGTCCTTCTCGGGGGGTGAGTAGCTCCGTCTCCCCGCTGCTTCGGAAGGGAAGCGGGTGGGTGAGGCCCTAAAAACTGCCCCCGCCAGCTGGGTCTGGAGGGAAGGAAGAAGGCGCTGGCTCAGGGCTGGCACCACAACCAGTCTGGGTCGAGCCACCCTCCAGAGCGCTCCAAGTCCCGCGGGCCAGGGCGCGGGGCACGCCACCAGCCGGCTTCTCAGCTGCCCCCTCGCCGGCAGCTTTTCGGCCTCTCTCCCCTCGGCTGAAAATCACCACCCTCCTCGGGGACGAGGGAGAATAAAACTCTCGGGTTGCAAAGGGAAAGGCCAGCCATTGCTCTGTGGATCCGTGTGCCCCGGGGGCTCCCACCTCCGAGGCACTTTGCATGTTCAATTCTCTTTCCCAAGCTCCCTTTTCCCCCGTGTTGACTTTCCCACTCATGCCTCCCGGCATTTTCCCACTTTGCTCAGCGTTTATCCTCAGCCCATTTAAGCTTTAAGCCCCTGGCATTTAAGGTCTTATTAGGCGTGTAATAGCAGTTGACTGAGAAAGAAGAGGGGTTTAATTCATTTAGTTAACTTGGGCTTGACCTGAGAAAGTTCCCACTTAAACCAAGACCTTAAAAAGGGAGCCGGGGCGGGGAAGGGGGGGACGTTTCTTTTCTTTAAGATGTCTCAAGTTCTTATTCCTCATTCATCAACCCGGGGACAATCTATTTTCTCTCGCTTTGGCATCTATGGGGCGCCCCGGCTCCCTTTTCCCCCTCTAGGATTTCTGTTCCTCTCTTAATTTACCATGAAGCCTAATTCCATTTTCATTCACATTATTTCAACCAGCTAATCGCCCCATTTTGTCAGAGGAATTCCTGGGCCCTTTTAAACAAGTCCCCGCGCCATTCAGGCGCGATGGATCGCTACAGCATTCTTAAAGGGCTAATGAATTTAGAATTAGCAATTGCTTTCTAGTTGAGTTTAATGAATGCGGATCACTTTAACAGCGTGACAAATTGCTGGATGGGCTGAAATAGACACCATTTAACCCCCTTTCTCAGCCCCGCGCGCTCTCATCGCTGGGTTTTTTTCCCAGGTACCTTCTCAATGCCTTAGGGGGGAAGCTTGTAAGACCTTGTAGGATGCGAATGGGGCATTTCTCAGCGCGGGTTTGCTGGGGGGCCCGGGCGAGGCTGCGAAGTTTGGTTAGAATTTGCAAAGCAGCACTTTGTAGGTGCCCAGGAGCAGGAGGGGGGGGCGAATTTCTCTGTCCCACAAACCTCCCCCCGGGGGCAGCATGCCCCCCCCCCGCCTCCCATCGCCGCCCAGGGGAGACCACCTCGCATCCCAACTTCGGAGTCCCTCGCTGAAGTTTGGTGCCTTTTCTCCCTGGGAAGGGACGCTGTGCTAGGGGGTTCGGTCCCTGGTGTCCGGGCGCCGCTAACTGGGGGGGGCAAAGGCGAGCCCGGATTCTTCCCCTCCTCCAACCCCCTCTCCTCGCTTCCCCCCGGCAGAGGTGCAGAAGTTATCCAGCCTGGTCCTGCCCTCGGAAGTGATCATCGCCCAGAGCTCCATCCCCGGGGAAGGGCTGGGCATCTTCTCCAAGACCTGGATCAAAGCCGGCACCGAGATGGGACCTTTCACCGGCCGGGTCATCTCGCCGGAGCACGTGGATCTGTGCAAGAACAACAATCTCATGTGGGAGGTAAAGAGGGGCGGGGGGCGCACGAGCTCAGGGATGGGCTGCCTAACGCCTCCTGTGCACGGTGCACACGTGGGAGAGCCCCTGTCACCAACTAGCTCCCGTCCTGCCCGCGCAACTTGTGCCTATGCGCGCAACTTGCGGGAACACGCCGATGTCGCTTCACAGAGCAATTAACGACCGGCTCTGCGGTCCAGAACACGGGGCAGGGAATAAGGACTCCTTGGTCCCGTCCCGTGCTCGTTGCGACCTGTGGCAAGTCATTCCTCCCCCTCCATGTGCCTCGGTTTCCCACGGCATAACGGGGGACGACGATGATACGGTGGGGGCTAATTAAAGGGCTTTGGGATCGTCCCATTAAAGGAACTAGACATGCCAATGAATGTACATGATTTATCCCCAACGGGTGTGTGTGTTAATTTCGCAGGATTTCCGTAGGAGAAAATAATCTTTTATAAAACAAATTCCCTCCCCCGTCCTGCTCGGAGTTAGTCCCCAGCCGGCGTGGAGAAAGATTTCCTTTGCTTCTCGCTCACCAAGCCAGGTAGAGAGACCAGAACCCACCTTCCCAGCCGTAGCTGGCCCTGCGGTAAAACGCACCAGATTCCCCATTCATCGGCGGCGTCATTAGCGCCTCGCCCGGGGAAAGCGGGTTTGTGGGTGTGCTCCGGCCCCGCTGGAGGGAACTGGGGTCTGCCCGGAACGGACACAAGGTTTCCAGCCTTTCGGGACAGACGTTTGGTGACCCTGGGGTTTAGATCAAGCCGAATTTAACAAAACTCCGGGGCAAAGCGCGACAGAAACAGCTTCGCTAACCCCCGTGAGAACAGCAAGGACCTCGGGGCTGAGACTGGCTGGGCCACATTTCTGTAGGTACAAGTCAGCCGATGGAAAACAGCAGGGGGTTGGGGCTGTAGCTAGGAGAATTACGGTAAGGGGAGAGGGCAAGGCCTTTTCATTCAATAGCCGGGGCCTGATCCGGCTCAGTGAAGCCGATGGAGTTTTTTCCATCAGCTTCCCTGGGAGCGGGGTTAGGCTCCAAATTCTCCTCCTGGCCCGGCACCAAACCTCTCTGCTGGCCTCTTTTTGTGCCGTGCAGAGAAAGGAAAGGCCAAGGCCCCACTAGACAGCGGTACTTGCTGCGGGGGGCAAGGATCATGTCCCTGTTCCCAGATAATCAGTGGGGCTCATTAGGGAGGTTGCCCATCTCCAGTGTAACCAGGAACGAAGCCCTTTCGATCTGTGTGTTGCTCATGCAGGTTTGCTGCCTTTGTTGCACCCTCGGGTCTCCTAGGAGCGTGGGGCAGCCGGGGGTGTTGCAGGACCCAAGAACAATAGAAAAGAAGCTGACATATAATGTTGTCCCCTGGCAATGCCCCCCTCCCATTCTCCCATCCTAAGGGGCTGGTTCTGCAAACTTCAGGCCTTGCGGCTCTCTGGGCTACTGGCGGCGGCGGGACCGAGCCCAGAAGCTGCTGCAGCAGAAATCTGGACTCATTCCTTTGACCAGACATGGGGGCCTGGTGCAAATGAACCTGGTGTAAATCAGGAGTGACTCCATCGAGGTCAGCGGGATTACACTGGTGTAAAACCAGGGTGAGCGGGATCAGAATCGGGTCCCTTTATCCAAGCAGACAACATCCCAGGCTGTGATTTGGTGCATTTTAACCATTTGTTGCCTGGGGACTTGCTTCTTGTAAACAGGTCTGTCCCTTTTTTCAGATCTTCACTTACAGATCTTCCCCCGGATAGCCACAAGCTGCAAGCCAGTGCCTTAGCTTAGATCCTCTTAATGTCGGCCCTGGTCTTGGGTCCATTGACATGGAAGGCAAAGCTCCCACTGGCCTCAGTAATTCAAGATGGGCCTCCCCCTTTGCTAGGTTTGGTTTCCTCTCGGACTTAGGGTCATTTATCAAAGAAATCCAAATGAGACAAGAGTCCCCTGATTGTGCTCCTCAAGCCCTGGCTGAGAGGGGTCCCTAGAGCAGGGGGAAGGAACCACACGTCTCAAAGTGGGGCCGAGATGGCAGGTGACGTTCTGGGCCGGGCGAGAGCCTGTGGACTATGGGATCGCAGGCCAGGGCTGTGCCAGGGCAGGGTAGCTCTGTCAGTCCAGGGAAGTGACAGCAGCCAGCCGCACCCAAGGCCAGGCCCCTTGCCTATGCTCTCCCCTGCCTATTGACTGATTCCCGGCCCCTGCACTGAGCAGCACCCAAGAGGAACATGGGATTTGCCATGTCAGATCAGACTCTTTATTAAAGGAACAGCCATCGGCACCTGCCAGCCCTGCTGTGCCAGGCCCTTCCTGTACATGCCCAGGGCTTACCCTTCCTACAGCCCTCCCATGTCCTCTCCACCAGGAAAGATGAGCTACACACTCCGAACATCCTCTCCTATGTGTTGCCCCCACCCTTTAGCTGATTACACCCTTCTAACTCCTACCTCCCAACATGACAAATAATACACGCTCCAGCTGCTACAAACCTGCCACATAGCCCCAGGGATGAGCATCTCTGACCTACTGAGGCTCTGTGTGTAGGCGGAGGGGGTTACAGGCCACTGACTTCTCACAGCATCCCACAAGACCCTGGGCCATCCCTGGGTGTGTAAGGTGGAAAAGACTTGGGCAGCACATTCAACCACAAGGCTATTAATGTATCACCCCCTTGCTCCTCACCCTAGGTGTTCAACGAAGATGGCACTGTCCGCTACTTCATCGATGCCAGCCAAGAAGACCACCGTAGCTGGATGACCTACATCAAGTGTGCCAGGAACGAGCAGGAGCAGAACTTGGAAGTGATCCAGATAGGAAACAGTATATTCTACAAGGCCATTGAGGTAAGTGAGGCTGGGAAGACGTGTATGTGTGTGTGTGTGGCGGGGGGAAGTGGAGCAGAGAACTGGCATGTCCCGTATCACACATCCTCCCTTGTTCATCAGGACTTTGTAGTCAGGGGCCTAATTCAGGCAGCAGTGAAAAGACTAGCGGCTTGTGGAGGGCGAAATGTTGGCACTGAGACCCTCTCGAGAGCAGCAGGGGTCGATGTGGCGGTGTTGGAGAATGACACGCGCACACATGAGAATGGAGCTTGGCGAGCGTCTCAGTGCCATCGCCAGTGCCTGGGCTTGCAAGGGGGGCCTGGAAAAATGAGGATTTGTCTTTTTCTGTGTGTGTGTGTGTGGGGGGGGATATGGCGGGAGAGAGAAAAGAAATAAGACTTGGGCATTCTTCCTGCTGTGGAACTGTGCAGAGGACTGAGATGTTAACCTTAGGGGTCTGCTCCTTCTCCCATTGAAGTCAGTGCGACTTTTGCCACTGCCTGTAATTGGAGCAGGATTCTGCCGTTGCCTCTAATGGACCCCGCTTCAAGGTCTATGCCGGGGACAAATGAGAATCAGGTAGGTTTAACGTAAAACATACAAGTTACGTTATTGTTAAAATTAAAGGTTTTTGGGGATTCAAGTTAAATACCCAGATCCCTGATCCTGCAAGTCTTGATTCAGCCAAAAGATTCATTGAATTCCACAGACCGGGTGCTGCTCCTGGTAATAATGACATAAATCAGGAGTGACTCCAGTGAGCTCTGTGTAAAACCAGTGTGAGAGAGAGGAGAATCAGGCCCATTGACTTCACTTGGCATTTTGGCTGGATAAAGATGTGCAGAATCAGGCTTCCAGAGCAGCAAATTCTGGAACTGGCCAAGCCCAGGTCTCTGGTTAGTGGAGTTCACTCACAAGCTTTTTGAGGCAGGGATCATGTTTTCATCAGTGTTAGTGCAGCACCCAGTACAAGGGGCCCTGATCCTGCTTCTAGGAACTACCACAATATACATGTTTCATAGAATATCAGGGTTGGAAGGGACCTCAGGTCATCTAGTCCAACCCCCTGCTCAAAGCAGGACCAATCCCCAGGCAGATTTTTGCCCCAGATCCCTAAATGGCCCCCTCAAGGATTGAACTCACCTGGATTTAGCAGGCCAATGCTCAAACCACTGAGCTATCCCTCCCCCCTGGCTGTGGCTCTGAGACCGCAGATCTCTCCAGCTGGGGAACTGGCTCCCGGCTGCACGGCGAAGCTAGGGCTATTCATCTTTCATCACAAAACTTTTCCCTGTGAGAGGTCAGGACTGAAATGGGACAGCTCCTCACAAGCAGCACACAACCAGACTGCCCAAGCGATAGAGCAGCCAGTGCTAATGGGAGGGAACCATCTCCAAGAGGCACCCACAGGCCTCCGAGCACCTAACAATATCAGAGCTGAAGGCAACATGTTCCACACGCTCGATATTAAAAAAATCTCTGTAAGCCAATACCCCAAACTCCCTGCAGAGAGAGACAAACTAAGCGGGGCCTGGGAGGTGCTGAGTCTCAGGGCCGCCCAGAGGGGGGGGCAAGTGGGGCAATTTGCCCCAGGCCCCACAGGGGCCCCCAGGAGAATATAGTATTCTATAGTATTGCAACATTTTTTATGGAAGGGGCCCCCAAAATTGCTTTGCCCCAGGCCCCCTGAATCCTCCGGGCGGCCCTGCTGAGCCTCCCATGGAAAGTCTCCGGGAACCGGGGCATATAGGGAGCATCCCACACAGAGGGGAAGGCCCCACCTCAAACTCTGTTGGGATGATACCTTGGGGCAGTTAGTGGCCGCATTCAAGGCGGCCGCATTTCGGATGAAAGGGCTGTTGGCTGCAGAGCCCGATGTGGGTCTCGGCAGTATTACAATTTGGCTGCCTGGGTGAGGGCAGGGGCGGGAATGTCCCTCATTGAATCCAACCTCCCATCACGACGGGATTGGCTCTGTCACGACTCCAGCAGTGAGTCTAGGATAACAAACGCCCCAGGGATAGGATTGGATTCACGTGGCTCTGGAGAGTCTCTGAGCCAGGAGAGGAATATGAGTGCACGCTCGCCGTGTTGCTCTTTGCCACGTGTGTCCAACAGAGCCAGCGCCAGGGCCCCAGGATAGAACAATTGCACCCTGAACACACTAGCAGAAGGGAACGTGCAAGGGGCTGCCTACGTGGTGCCGAGCATCTTGGTCCCCAACCAGCAGAGTGCTTAAGTGCGTGTGCTTCGCTATAAGCATGTGCATAGTCCCCTTGACGTTTTTAGGGCCCTGCATGAACTTCAAGATGAGCCACATGCTTTGTTGGATGGTGACCAAGGTCTGCAGCACCTTGCACATCACCCCCGATGTGAGATTTAAAAGAAAAATCATTGGGTCCCAATTCTGTACCCCATAGGCAGGTCAACTCCCACTGCCTTCAGATAGGAGTTCTGCCAGCGTAGGGACAGCACATTCGGACCCACAGTTTATCCTGGAGATAAACAAAATGGTCAAGTCAAATAGGTTGGCGCAGAAAGAGCGAAAACTGTTCCTTTTCTGTGGCAGGCAACTTGGGCATTTGTAACCAGCTTTCTGCAGCATAAGGTACTGCCCAAAGCTAGAAACCATCCCCTGCCAACCTGTGTAAATCCAGGACACAGGAGTGCGAAGTGTTGATGTTCTGCAACGTTCCTCACAGGTGGGGTTTCTTTGCCTAATGGAAAAATAACAGCTCCGATTTTTATTTAACGCTGACCCTCAACTCCTTATTCCTGTGGACGAGCTGCAGGAAAGGTTGTTCATTGTAAAGGGAGTTTAACTGCTTTTTATCTTTGGTTTTGATACGATGTGATGAAATAGAATAATAGTATTATACTGACATAATTCTTAAAAATATAGATCTATTGCATGTATATGATCGCTAGTATACATGTGTGTATGAATGACGCTAGATACCTATATATGTGCGTATATAATGCCTAATACAGACATACAGTAATACGCAGTTCGTACTGCTCATATGTCTGAATCCGTGATTCTACAAACCCCAGAACACTATTTTTCAGTTCTTCTAGATCACAAAAAAACCTAAGTTATAAAACGTAAGTGTTTGTGACTCCAATTGACAAAGGAAATAAATGTCACAGTTGAACCCGACAGCCCACCGCGCTGTAGTACATGCCGGTATCCAGACATCTACTGGTATGTTAAGCAGTAGCCGTGCCTGGGTCTGCTCCGGCACCCAGTGCATTAAATAAGACAGGATCACTCAACAGTGTCAGATGGAGATGGGGTTAATTATGAATTTTGTTCTGAAAGAGAGAGTGAGGGAAATCAAACGTGGCCTGGAAGTGTATGAGATTAGATTTTAATAGCTCGGTCTAGGTCCCGATTCTGCATTCCTTCCTCGCCCCAGAGTCCCATATCCAGTCACACAATGCACATGCACAGTGCCATGGGTACTCATGCTTTGAAGTTGGCTTCTATTACTCTGTTTATTCTGTTTGAAATCATTAGGAGTTGGGGGGGGGGTGGGGGGGCGTGGGCACAAAGAATGCTGGCTCAGCCTGCATTGGGGTGAATATTTATTGAGGTGTCTATTTGTGGGAGGGGGGATTAGAAGTGGATTTTCACCCAGTGGACCACATCCACTCTGATCTGCTTGGATACATCCTTAGAATCCCTTTGATGAACCCACTAGAGGAGGGTGGATCCACCATATCTTTTACAGCAGTTGTATCCATTCTGCCCTCATACCAAAGCTCATTTAAGAAATGTAGGCTGTTTATTGCAAACATTTCTGTCCATGCATTGGAGCTGAATGACCCTTGATATCTTGACTGCTTTTCCCCCTTTGAAATACCAAATAAGAGGGTGCCACTCACTCACCAAACGTAATATATAAAACCTTTAAATCAGAGCTATTGCTGAGTTACAGAGCACAAATAAAGTGTCTCAAAACAGTGAGTGGTTCCAACCACTATTCACCACCTTGAAACGTCACAAAAGCCAAATGTGGGTTTAAAAGAAAAATGAATTCCAGGACTGAGGCTCTGGGTGGTTAATTTCAGAACAGAGCGACTCTCTGGAGATGGTAGTAAGAGCCCAATCCCGCAGATTTGACTCTCGTGAATAGAGCCCCGGGCTAATCTCATAAAGGCAGCAGGATTGGGCCCATAATCCCCAAAGACCGAGTTTCTGATCTGTAAATGCGGATCTAATCTTTGCAATAGTGGCATGGAGAGCAATGCTTTCATAGATGATTACATGTCATTAAAAAAAAGACATCAGTTTCTTGGGAATCCAGCAGAGGTAGAATGCAATGCTAGAAAAAGAACCGATATATTGAAAAATCCAGTTTGTTACACACACACACACTCCATCTTTCTCCTCTGCATGGACGCACACAGTCTCTCTTCTCTCTCACCCCCACCCCCCTTGCACTCTCTGTGCAGGTGTACACACACTTTGACACACTTTCAGTCTCTTTTTCCCAGCACACAGATGTTGTCATGCAATCTGTCTATGTTTTCATGACTACTCCATTGCTGTAGTGTCTGAACATCGCCCACACAGTTAAACCAACTCCACAAATGACCCAAGGCGTCTTTGTCCTTCTTCCTCCCCCCCAGGCAGGTTGATTGGGGGCATTTTTGTAATTAATTGCTTTTATTTGCTTGTTGGATTTTTGTTTCCCTCTTCTCCTGCTGCTCTTTCTTCCCACTTTCTCTTCCTTCTTCGTCTTCTTCCTCGGCTGTGTCTAGCTGCAGCTGTGGGGGTGTGAAGTTGAGGCAGTGAGTTTCAACCTTCAATGTGAAAGCCGTGAGATTCGTGGGGCTGATTCAGATTGCCTTGGTGCATGTGTGCACACACCTGTCTGTGCACAGGCACACTTCTGCCCTCATCCACACGCACGCACACTGGTGCATACGCGCAATCCAGCGCGCACACACTGAAGTTCATCCCTTCTCTTCTCTTTATTCTCTTCTGTTAAAAGGGACTCGTTTTCAATGAGATGGTTAAATGATTGCATGCATGCCAGTAAGTGAGACCTACAATTTATTTCCAAGTTCATACTATTCAACCCTTATAGAGGCCACTATTCATCATTAACCAAGTGCCTAACTTAAGGTCAATTCCCATTGTTTGTAGTATGATTCCTCATATGCTTAAAGTTAGGCACATATTTAAGTGCTTTGCTGAATTTGGGCCATTATGAACAGGGCCCTGTGTATTTGGTGATTCTATGGCTGCAAAATTGTGCTCCAGAATCTGGACTTTTATTATTATAATTATTTTAATTAAATCTCTAACGCATGATTTGCATAGAAAACCATCAAAACACGAAGTAGGTGTGATTTAGTGTAGCAGTGTCTGACAGCCTGAAATAGTAGCTCTGACCAGTGAGAATTGCCTTGTTCTTCTCAGTTGGGTGTTGATTCTGAAACCTAATGACACCACTCTACATGCCAGCCAGGTTAACTATTTCTTGATGGGTCATTTCAGCAGTAGCTAGTTTGCCCACCCTGCATTTTCAAACTACTTCCCAGGTGCTAAACGCCCCAGCAATCCCCTGATCTCTACAATGTAGGTATGCACTGTTCTCCCCCAAACCTGAGACATTGGAAAAGTGAAGGGCAAAGGAAAATAAATGGATTTCAACACCACAATAAATAATGCAAGAGAGATGCTTTCAAACCTTGCTTCTTAAATATCCTTCTGGCTGCTGCAGAATCCTCCGCCTGCTGCACTGAAATGCTGCGGGAATCAAAGGCCTTGCTGTGGTGTTATGTATTATTATTACTGTAGTGGTACGGCTCAGGACCCCACTGTATTAGGTGCTGTACAAACCCAGCACAAAAAGCCGGTCCTTGCCCCGAAGAGCTTAGAATCTAAGTAGAATTTAGACCAGTGGTTCTCAATCTATTTACCATTGTGCATCGCATATGTGTTATGTGGGCTGCATCCGATACTACCTGTATGGCCCTGAGGATGTCACGTGGGCCGCAGCTCCGTGCTGATTGGGCCGCAGGTTGGGAGCCACTGATTTAGACCCATCTTCCCACCAAACCACTGCCCCTTACCAGGAGGTGTACAAGCCTTTCCTTTAACTCTGACCGTGCCCTGGGAAACCCAAGCCCTTAGCTATTGTATCTGCACTTCCTGTCTGAGCCATCTCCTTGCTTAAAAAGCACCAGGAGGTGCGTGTCCGCTCCCTCCCCCTGCCAAGTGGCTCCTTTGGTGGTAGTAGGAGGCTTGCTGGGGGCAGAGAAGAGTCGCGCTCTGCCAAATCTCAGCTGGGGTAAGATAGAGCAGCTCCTAGGCTCAGCACAGCACAGAGCCATACCTGGCTCCCAGACAGATCTCCCCCTCCTCTCCCACAGGAGCAGATCTCCGCACAGGACAGAATTTGGACCGAAATGTTTAGGGGCAGCACTGGATCGGATTAACACTTCCTCTCTCTCTGCCTCGGTTTCCCCTTCCACCCTTTGTCTTTCTTGTCTATATAAACTGTAAGCTGTTTGGGGCAAAGACTGTCTCTTATTCTGTGTAAGTACAGCACCTAGCGCAATGGGGCTCTGATCTCAGTTGAGGCCTCTAAGATAATGCCACCGTTGTCCTGTCGCTGAAGCCAGAGGGAGCTGTCAGGTCTCTTTGTCATGATCAATCTCTGACTATTTTCTAGTCTCTGCAGCACTGTCCTGGACAGTCCAGTCGATGAGCTGTGTATCTGCCTAGTCTAAGCCTTCTGGTGTGCCCAGCGTGGTTTGGGATATTGGAACTAGGGAAATGGCGAGTGTCTGGATGCCATGTGCAGTTCTAATCATGTGCCATAATTCCCGTCTTTTACCTCTCAGTTCCAGGGTCCCGCTTGGAATCACTCCAGATTCCAGCTGCCAGATTATCTCTGCTGTAACCCCCGAGTTACACCAGAGATGAATTTTGCCCTACGAGACTCTGGCTCCAGCTATCATGGAGGCAACAAGCAGAAAAATATATTCACCTCCATCCTGTTTGTTTTTTCTTTCCCTGTAGATGATTCCACCAGACCAAGAGCTGCTGGTCTGGTACGGGAACTCCCACAACACCTTCCTGGGGATCCCGGGCGTGCCGGGCTTGGAGGAGGAGCAGAAGAAGAACAAGCATGGTACGTAGCGCTCGATAGGACAGTAACTGTTGCAAATGCACATCTGATGCCATCCCCCGGCCCGTACTCTATGCACACGGGCCCTGCTGGCTGTCCCCTGGCTATCCCTGGACAATGAAGGGGGGGAAGGGTCTCACTAGCACCTGGATCCTCTCAGGCAATCAGGCTCTTTCACTGCTTACCCGGCAGGGAGTGACTGGTGGACCATGACCCAGTGCTGACAGACCTCCATGAAGAGGGGCAGGGAATAAAGCCTGGAGAGTGTTTGGCTCTGAGCTGTTCCAACCACTGCTCCCCTGCAGCTCGAGTCACCACAGGGCCTGTCCTGTCTGGCCTTGTAAAATCCTGGGCCCGTTTCTCCTGAGCTGTTTGCACAGCCTGGACCAGCTCCTCAGTTGGTGGGAATCGGCTTCGCTCCACTGGGAGACTTTCGCCGATTTACTCCAGCGCTCAACAGATAACGACCGGTAATAACTTGATGTTGCCTGAGCCCTTTGTAATGCCAGTAAGGGTGAGGGTCTGAACGCACTGGGTCTCTATTATGCTGCTGTTCTCCCCAGGTTTGCCCTTTAGCTGCCCCAATAGAAAACTGCGAAGGGCTTTGGTGGAGCTGACCCCACTGGGGTCCCCAAAGCTGCCCTAGCGGACAGGGTAGGCGCTGTACTTTTCTTCTTGGGATCCCTCTGAGTCCTACTATGGAATGAAGGCTGCTTAGCTCATAAGGATCAAGGCCAAGGGGCTCCCCCGAAATTCTGCCGGAGACATCAATGAGTCTTAGCATTGCCTCCCCATGCTGACTTGCCCAGGGCTGTCACAGCTTTGCCTGCAGGGTCCCTATGGCCAATCATCCCGAATAGCCTGTGGCCCAAATCCAGCAGTGAGAGAGCCCTTCATTCATCACTCCCACGCGGAGGAGGCTTCCTGCATGGTGAGTGGGGCAGAGAAAGTGCTGACTCTGTGCTCCGCGAGCAGAGGCTAAGTGCCGAGTCACTGATTTCCCTGGGCTGTATGGGGGCCACTTCATTAACCCCATACAAACCCCTCTTCTCCCAAGATCCCATAACAGGGGACTCTTAACTCCTCTGGGATTCCTTCTCTTTTTGTGCCATTTCCCATTGGGATAGACTGAGAAGGGAACCGGAGTAAACAAGCCAGCAACAGGGGATTTTAGATCTCCAGGTCCAATAGGCTGCAGAATGCAAAGGGGGTGGGGAGGGGAAACAGTTCATAGACCATAATACTGTAGTAAGGAAAGGAGAGATAGTGAGCCCCATGCAGCCTGCTCCATGTGGCTGCCTCAGCGTGACCTTAAAAAGGGTGCTCCTGCCTCCACTGCATTATAGCTCCCGGGGCCTGAGCAGAAGAGGTGGGGTTTGCCCCACTGTCCTTGACTCGCTCACACCCACTTGCCCTGCCTCTTTGGCTCTGCAGAGGTGAGTGCTTGTCACACAGTCTGTATGTGCCTGGCCTCAGGGCTGCAGAAGAGCTCAGGGCCCGATTGTCTCTAGCCTTCACAACCTCCTCAGGCAAGGAGTTCCACAGGTTGACTGTGCGCTGTGTGAAGAGCTGTTCTGGAAAGGCCCAGGTGTCAAGGACAGAAAACTGCAGACACCCCCCACCCCATGAAGAAAGGCTAGTGATTCGGGCATAGGGCACCTGGCTCTTATCCCCAACTCATGCTACTTTTGAGTGAGTCACTGAGCAGCACCCTGCCCAGTTTCCTGGTCTATAAAACTGAAATAGTGATACCTCCCTCCCAGGGGGCTGGGAGGTTGAATTGGTCGATGCCTGCAAAGGGCTTGGAGATCCTTAGCTGGCAGATGCAGCAGAGTTGCATAGTGCTTAGTATAACGCTGGTTATTTATCATCGATTCATTATGTGCTGTGGGGGCATCGCTACTGAGCTTGTCCTGACTGGTCACCACGCACCAATGTGGCTCTGTCTTTATTGAAGGTGCCGTAACCTTGAGAATGCCTAGTGCCATGAAGGCACCTTACAGGCACAAGGAAGGGAATGAATTGCTCAGGCCCTGAGCTCCTGTTCCGGCGGGGAGCAGAGGGCCGTGGCTGACTCCTTGTGTTGTTCTTTATTACACAGAGGACTTCCACACGGTGGAGACGGGCGCCAGCACGGCCGGCCGCATGCGGTGCGTGATCTGCCACCGTGGCTTCAACTCCCGCAGCAACCTGCGCTCCCACATGCGCATCCACACCCTGGACAAGCCCTTCGTCTGCCGCTTCTGCAACCGCCGCTTCAGCCAGTCCTCCACACTCCGCAACCATGTGCGCCTGCACACCGGGGAGCGCCCCTACAAGTGCCAGGTCTGCCAAAGTGCCTACTCCCAGCTTGCTGGACTCCGGGCCCACCAGAAGAGCGCAAGGCACCGACCTCCCAATGCCTCCCTGCAGTCTCACTCCCCAGCCTTGCCCGGGCCCCACCCTGCTTCCCTGGCGCATCACATACCGACAATGGTGCTGTGAGCCGCTGTCGAGATGCCGGGTTCCGGGCAGGCATTTCCAGCTGTTGCAGACTGGCATTGATAATGCTGATGAATTTGTTGGCATCAACCCTTCAGGGAGGGGTGGGGGGGGGCTGGAGGGAATGAGGACGGGGCAGGGCCAATTTCTTAATTAAACCGTTTGCTGACAAAGGGGCACCTCTGTTAAACCATTGCCATTCCCTTGGGGCTTAGGGTGTTATCTTACCAGTGCGAGACATGAGCCCAGCCCTGTGATCCATTCAGTGCATCTTCTCCTTGCTGATCAGTCTGGGCCAGGGAGCGTCAGGGCTCCAACCATAGAGGAGGCTGTGTGATAAGCTTCATTGTCCCGGGTGTTTGGCATCAGGCAGTGAGTGGCATAAAGGCATTTGGGAGGGTAAACACACTGAGAATGAAAAATAACATGAACCTTAATGTGAAGACACCGGTATATGGAGTAGTGGGGGGTGGGGAAGAGCCAAAATGCTGATTTGTGAAACATTTCCCAAGGACTTTTGTGTTCAATTCCGTTGGAGGAAGAGATGAAAAATTGCTTTCCCCTCTATTGAAGTTAGCACAGCTGGAAGGCCAGATTCACCCTTGGTGGGAGCCGGCACCATTCTGTTGAAGTCAGTGCAGCTGGGCCTGTTTACACCAGTGGTAATTTTGGCCCCAAAGCTGTGTCTGCACTGGGGATATTTACAAAACCCTATTCTGATGTTAGTGCTGGTGGGATCAAAGTACAGACAAAAATCATGGGGCCAGGCCCCATTTTTGTGACCGTTTCCGTTAGGCTTGGAGTCCATGCTAGACCCCCAGCTGGTCCCCATGCCAGTTCAGCTGGTCCACCACATCCCACGCCCGGCTGATCTGCCGTGCCAGAGCTAGCACCAGTGGGAAGGATCTTTTGTAAGTTTCCAGACTCAAGTGTATTAGTTCAAAAAACACACCCCTAGTTTTTCCATGTCTAAGCTGTGCACATGGTAAGACCTCTGAAATTGCACACGGATCTGAGCTTCTGCCCATGCAGACAGGGGACATGCAAAGCGGCAACTGAGCAACAGGCTGTTGATGAAAATTTGCGCCATCATGCGCTCAGGAAATGGAGAATCAAGCAAGTTGCCTGGTGTCACCAAAAGCATTTTTCCAGGATGTGTGTAAGCTGGGGTAGCTAGAAGTGCCCCCCCACACACACACTCAGCTCACCTTGCCAAGGCCACCTCCCACGCTGCATGGGTGTTCCTCCTTCATCTCTAAAGTAGGGCTGGTGGTCCTTCAGCAGATCCATATCTCTAGGGTCTATTTAAACTCTTACCTCTACTGCCCTCTGGAGACCAGAGAGAAATAATTCCTTTGGCCAAACCACACCCAGAATACAGTCCGGAGCGCCCCCTTGAGTCCTGCCACAGTTATGAACCCAATAAGAAGGGTTTTGTGAAATAAAATATAAAAAAACTATTATAATATTATTAATTATAAGTATACGATGTATAGAGTTTTTGCAAACTGTGTTTTACTTCCAGAAAACAATTGTCACTTTACCTTTGTAAATATTTATGTAAAACATTATTTACAAAACTTTGATATTATATATTATTTGATGGTATATGTACACAGCTGTAAATACATTTGTACCTCTCTCTCTTGTATTCTAAATAAAAATTACTTGGAACATTTATCATTTAGAAGGTGAGTTGTTTGGGAGTTTTCTTTCTCTCTGTGATCTAGGAAAGCATAATGTTGGTCTTGGAAAGGGGATAGTGGAGCTTGTCCTAGAGGGTATCACTGAAATTTGCTTCTTTTCACTTCCTTAGTGTCTTCAGGATCCTAGCTTGTGTTTGAATGAAATGAACAAAAGATCCAAGCGCTGTATTATCAACCATTGGAACAGTTTCCCATGGGAAGTGGTACATTCTCCATCGCTTGGAGTCTTTAAATCAAGATTGGATGCCTTTCTAAACGATATGCTCCAGTTCAACCAAAGTTATGGGCTTGAAGCAGGAATCACCAGGTGAAATTCTGTGGCTTGTGTTATGCAGGAGGTCATATTATAATAGTCCCTCCTGGCCTTAAAATCTAGCATCTATTTCACACATTTTGGACAGAGCATAATTTACTGCTCAGTCCTCATGGATTATTTTCAATAACCATCTTTGCATCTTGAAAGAGGATGGTTTTAAAATGTGGAGAAAAGCAATTTGCGCACAGGTGCACACACAGAGCCAGAGACACATGGTGTTCATATGTATTTAAGCACAGGGTGTTGAACCCCAATTTCCATTCATTAAAAATAACTCCTGCAGTACTTAACACAAAGGTACACAGGACTATCCCCACCTCCTTCTGGAATCCCCTGGCCTTTAAAGACAAATACGCATCCATCTATCATAGATCAAGATTTGCTAGTGCTCTGTAATCCCAAATAGGGCCTGTTTGTACCATACCATGTTCTAGGCAGTACAAATGTTCTGGGGCAGACCTGCTTTTGATACCCCAACAGCCACTCTCCTAATCAATTCCTGTCCCTTGGGGTCCTATCACAGTGCAAATATTTAATAATAATAACAGCTGTTCTCTGATATAACCATCCACTTGAGTGGAGAAGATCATTTCGCTTACCAGATGGAAGCCTGTGCTGCATTTAGGCTTAATGCAATGGGAAGCATTGGCTGATGACCTTGGTATGATCTCTCTCTTAAATCCCTAAGTGACAGTATGACTAGGTAAATGACAAGAGCTGATTTTTTTAGTTGTAAAAAATTAGCTCTTAATATTACATTTCTTTTCCTTTCTACATGTAGATAGTAAATTCTTGCCGTTTCAGTCAGACCAGTGGTGCTCAACCCACGGGATGCTTGTGGCCTAATCAGCACACAGCTGCAACCCATGTGACCTCCTTAGGCCATACAGGTAGTATAGAGAGAGAGTGGATGCGGCCCACATAACACATGGAGAGCTGCATGTGCGGCCCACAATGATAAATAGGTTGAGAACCACGGAGTCAGACACTCATTTAGCAATGCTGTGAGCTGTTAAACAGCTGCTGTGTTCCAGAGTAGACTGAGTTTCAGGGATAGCTGAAATGGAGCCTGTGCATGAATGAGTTGTTAAGTGCTCTGGGATCTGGTTTGCAGGAGCTGGGACTTCAAGGAAAACAATAATTCGCATGAGACTCATGACAAAATCATGAGAGCTGGTAACACCGCTGCAGCAGCATCGTTTAGCAGGGATGTGCTGCTTCCCACAGTTCTGCAGGGGGGTGGCTGCCCACTGTGCCAGTGCTGGCCAGGCGTATAGGGCCCGTGGGCCCCAAGAGGATGTGGGTGTGGGGGGCGAATATGCCGAATGCCCACGGTTACTATGGCCAGTGTGCAGTGTTCACGATGAAATACTGTCTCTGGGCATTACCAACATGTGGCTTGTCTTGGAGGGGGGGGAGCATATTCCTGGAGGGCACCAGAGCCCTAAACAGCTTGCCAGCACTAAACATGGCCCAACACCTATCCCTTCCTTTGAACCTAACGCAGTGAAGGCCATTCCCCTTCTCTGCCAGGATCCAATATGGCCTCCCGCAGCCTTGTCACTGCTGAGGTCCGCCAGGCCCTCATCCAAGATGGCGGCGCCCCAAGTCAACATGGCAGCTCCCACGCACGCGGTTGCCAGTAACTGACATGGCGGAGAGAACGTGTGGTTCAGACGGGCACTGAAGCCTACGAAGGAAACTGCCAGGACTTAAGATGGCGGCAATAGAGATCCGGCTGCCGGTGGCCCGCAAGCTGGTGGTCCAGAGCCTGGCACAGGGGAGCGACAAGCACTTGGTGGCTCCCGGGGACACGATCACCACAGACACGGGCTACATGAGGTGAGGGGCCTCTCCCAGATTTCTTCTTCTACTGGTAGGGCCCTCCCCCCCCCATCTCAGAGACTGAGGCTGTGGGGCAGGGTCCCTTGTCCCACCAAACTTGAGGCTATGGCGCCGCCACACGCCCCCAGTGCATGGGCTATGGGGCAGGGTTCCTTATCCCTCCAGACATGTAGCTAGGATGCAGCCCAGCCCCCTTCCTCGGGGCGTGGGTTATGGGGCAGGGTCCTTTTGCCCCCCTGCATCCCAGTGGCAGCCCTCCCT